GATAATGCAATGTCCCCCTGGGGCAATCATTGTCACTTAATAAGTAAAACCCGTTTTACTACTATGAATATTGCCAACTTGCCGATAGACGGACCCATTTTTGACAGACTCGCCTTATTGGACCAAATCACAGTTTATCCATCATTACTAACGATGAAAATCCTGCACAATGCAGCGAAAATCGAAACTACCCTAGGAATTTAATTTTCGAAATTTTAATTTCAGTTTTGTACCTTTCTAGCACTTTTTTGCTTTGAAATGTAGGTGTGCGAGTATCTAGCGTTGTTGTAACATCCTATATAACAGTCATCGAATGACAAGTTTATTCATTTTTATTTTCTTCGCCTTGATACGCTAATTAAGTATGCAATGATGAGGATACAAGGGCTGATTATTGAAACTGATAGAAAATGCGATGGACAAAGGGGATAAAAGGAAAAGGAAAGGATCTAATTGGTGGACGCGGGTGATTGCAATGGACAAAGGAGGTAAGCAATAGACAAACCAACGGCAATCTGCGAAATACCCTATAGTTAGTCCATCATTTTCTCCCTTGGTCTACACCAACCACCTTTTTCAACCAATAGGATCGTTCTGTTTTCTTTTTGTCTTCTTTGTCCGTCGCTTTGTCTATCAATTTCAATAATTAGCCCGCAGAGGCTCCTTTTCACCGAAACTGAAAAAAACTTTTCTTCAAAATTGCGTCTTAAAACTTTAAAAATACGTTTTTTTAAAATTCACGATTTCTCGTCCTCAAACTTTGAGGTGCTTTAAAAGTATATATTTTAAATTTTTAAGTGTTTTTTACACAAAATGATTCAAACTCAATTTCAGTATGCAGTAGCATATTATTGTCGCGTCCCTGACCTAACGTAAGGACTGAAGTACACACTTTTTTATGAACCCTGTCGCTCATGTAACTCAAAGCTTTCACGGGCTCGGTTCCAAGTCTAGTTACACCCTTTTGTCAGTCAAGCGACGACTTGTAGCTCTTTATCATTCCCCTTAGGTTCCCTTTCCCCCAACAATGTCATGAGCAATGACAAAATTCTCGAATGAAAGGCAGTTAGCTCGTTTCAAATGCTTTATGTAATATTGACAAATTGCAATGAGTCGCCAGGAGAAATAACTGCGAGTGATTACACTGTCTGCGCAGTGCATAGGACACCACTTACTAGCGATTGGTAACATTAAATACCCCTTAAAGTACCCAATTCTGACCCTCGATCGAACTGAGTATACATTCTTCTCATAATGAAACAACGGAAACTGGTTTTTCCACGATAAATGATCAACCCGGTGCCAACTGTAGAGACGGGTCGTAGGAGAAGAAATCTGATCCAAGGAAATTGAACCGTGGAATTTTCCTTTTTCTCGTTCGAATTGCAGATAATTGGCAAATTGGCGCCTGCCTCGGTGAAATGAGGGGGTGAGAGGCTGAGAGCTTTAATTACATTTGATTGTGATAAGCTTTCACTTCACGATTTACTTATTCACTCAAGAAATGGTGCATTTTGCTTTAGTATGCGTCGTGAATTTTATACGTGCAATTTTGCAATTGCAATTATTTTTCCATGGAATAGCAATATTTTTACGTAACTAGGGGGTGCACCCCCGACCGCTTCGAGATCCAACCCACTGAAGTACTCCCCGCCTGAGGCGTTATGCGTTACTCTCCTTTAATATTATTATTTCTACATCATTTGGTCATTTTGAATGATTGGTAGTATGAGTTCCATGTATAAGGAGGATAATTAGCAATGCACCAAAAAATTGAAACTTTTTTCAATTGAACCCTAATACATGTCAATATGAGGAGCCCCTTCCATCGGTAGATAAGCAACATACTCAACGCCCTGCCGCAGTAGCAATAATCTAATCGTGCAATTGTAATTAATTGCAACCTGCACTATACTTTGGAAACATACATACAGCGGCCAATGAACGAAAAAATACTAATCAGGGGATACACCGCAACGTTGAAATGTAATTAAGTTCCCCTACCTCTCATTCCTTCTTGTACGTCGGTTGAAATTGTATAAAAAAATTGGAAATCGGTTTAATTTAAGATTTACCACAAGACGGTATAAAAGCATTCGAGCAACTGTATTCATACAGTGGAAATAGATTGAAAGCTTCACAAAGTATAGGTACTTGTATGGAATTTTTTTGACGTGAGAGTGATGAGAGGAACTTACAGCCCACTCGGTGGATGAAGTTAACTCAAATGACAATTAATTTAATGGGAGAAAAATATGGAAAATGAGAGGCCACACAAAAGAGCAGACGTAAGCGTAAACAAGTGATTCATCCATGAAGTCGGAACCGACATTTAAGTTTACACACAGAACAGCTGCTGAAATACGTAAGCAGGTGAATTGCAGTTTCAGTTTCTTAGGGCAAATACTGTAGCAAAAGGAATAAGGCGGGAGAGGGGTATTGGAACACCGCCACAAATAAAATGAGAAGGTGGCGGTCAGTTGAAATTCCACTCTCTGTTCCATACTCAATGACGCCGATGATGATCATCAATGTTTTTACGTTGATTAATGATGTATGTAGATTTACTTTACGGTTAGACTTGAAGTTAACAGCTGTGTGATAGAACAACATTTGTCCTCACCTGCGGATAACATTTAAGAGGGCTTTGAAAAAAGCCACAGAACCCTGCGCGATAATTTTTATGGAGAACCTATCGTAAGGTTTAAGACTCTATATAGATTGTTTTAAGGGATATTTGGAACACGCTTAGCAGAGAGGAACCAAACCACATCGGCTGTTGCCAAATTTGACTGGGCAATTTTATTTTTTACAAGAGAACATTTGTGCAGATTCTTTTGAAAATTTGGAGGAATTTTCTTTGTGCCATGCAGGTAAATTACTCTTCTTTGCACAAAAATTCGCAGAACCGTTTTCATGTGATCAATTCCATTTCCCAATTAAATTTTGCATTAGATGATGTGGCTTGGTTCCTTTCTACTTAATGCGATCCATTTCCACTACCATCAGAATTACGTACCATTGCCAAATTAATAGCCTCCTCTTGTTTCAATTATGCCGTGTATATACCCCATTCGGATCAGAATATGGTGTAAAAAGATTCGTATTTCACTATATTACATTGCGCTTTAGGGCATGGTAAATATTTTTTGCCATTTACACTTACTTATTGATGCAATTGGTAAAAACTGAAACTCTTTTCTGCTTTTAATCTTTCTTTTTATTTCGAAGAAGAGTATTGATGCTTATATAGCTCCCAGGCATCTATTTTCAACGCCATGTGGAATTCAAAAGTGGTAAATTTTGCGAGAAATTATTCGTAATTTTAAAAATCACGAAAGCACCTTAAACTAGGGCTGAAAGAAACTTCACCTTAAATTTCAGCAACATGTTCTCGAGCACACACACACAAATTGACTATTTAGATTTTTCAACCCTCGTATTGACCCTGTTTCAACTCTCGTAAAAAAAATATTAACCTACTTCATAAGTATAAGAAATAATGTAGTTTGGAAGCCAGTTGGGACAAAACTTCTGCTCAAGGTCTGCCGTGAACTGCGACGGTGGATAAATTGGTGAAAAAACAAGATTTAACCAGGAGCAGATAGAGGTTATCTAACAAAGTTCTCATGTGGATCAACTTGTTTTGCTTAATACCTACCACTCTGAGTAGGAATTGCTTTGCGCAAAATAATTCCATCTACAACAGGGTTAAAACCCCTAAACTTCTCTAGTTTTAATACAGCACTTCTTAGTTCTTTTATACGAAAAAAGCTCACTCAAGTGTAGGTCCATTATCAAAATATTCAACACTAACTTATTACATCACAATCTGAGCTCGTTCACTACTCTGGCGGAACCATACTGCCTAGTTCTCTTTCCTATCCTTGCGTTTAAGTCTCCGAGAATTCTTCAGCAATCGCGCTAATGAAGTCCTGATGCTGGACAGTTTTGAGGGCGCTCCTCTTTTTCGGCGCTTGCATACTTCCGGACTTCCGGTTGTAGACTTCCGGTCATACTTTATTTTCTACATGTAAAAGTACTGAACATCATTTCGAGTACTTTAAGACGTAGGGCAGAAAAAAAATCGAAATTCATTGATTTTCGGATTATGAGCAATTCTTAGAATCCTGCATAATCTCACGGGTACAATAAGACCAACTTTTTGAAATTCTGATTCGTAGGTCAGGTGTGAGGGGCTTTCAAACAGGTGAAGTTTAGATACTGAATACTAACTTGTTCCTATGGGTTTTTTTTCTTTTCTTTTCTTTTACTTATTTTGTAAGACTTTGATTTTTCGAAAACCACATTTTTTGACATAAAATGCCCTTTTTCTCAAATCCTATTGGGTCATTTTTGAAATTTATTTTTTTATATTCCAGACAGTTTTCTCCACACTTCAATCAGGGCTTTTTAAAAATTTTGATTCCCAAACTTTTTTAGGGTTTCTTCTGAAAGTCATAATTTTTTTTGTTTTTTTGTTTGAATTTCGCTGAGTGCTAAATTGATCTAGAGACTCGATGAAACTGACAAAAAAAAGTTTCTGAAAAAATACTAAGGAGATCCTGGGAAAGGGGGCATCATCGTTGACTGAATCACAATGGTGACAATTCTCCATGTAAAGGATGCTTGGTGAATGTCTACCCGGTCTCTTTTTAAAAAATAAACGAGAAGTGGAGATTTTGAAACACCGCAACCGGGATACGCGATTTTGCAGTTTCACCGTCTTCTGTCAAAACTCCTTTTATGAACTGACTTCCTTTGTTTAAAGTTTAAACGAGTTCGATTATAAAATAGCTATCGCGCCATGTGCCATGTCCATGTGCTCATGAAAAAGATTAGAAAAAATTGTGTAATTCTCTAAATTTAGAACAAATCGAGGAAAATGCCTCTGCGCGCACTCTTGAAAATATATTAATACTGCAACTGACATTTGTCAAATTCTTGCCAAATTGGATGCCTTCTTTAAAATACCATCTTATTTTGTTCCCTTGTTTCAGTGTACGATGCCTCAGCAAAGCTACCGAATGGTATCTTGGCAGCGAACAACTACCATTTGGGCAATTTTGACGAATGTTTGGCCATCTCTGCCGACTTGGGCAAAATCAACGGGGGTCAAGTGGACGGCAAATACTGTCTCGTCAAACTCCAGTTGGGCACCCAAGTCCCTCACTCTCCACCGCGCGTGAGCATCGAATTCAATCCCTTCGAAAATGCTTGGGATAAAATTCGGGTACGTAAAGACGTGGAATGCTCATTTATCTCTAAATCGGTGGTGGCAAAGAAGTATCAAGCTCACTAACGTCGTTGTTGTTATTCGTTGTGTGAATTATTCAAAGCTACTATTCATTTGCTGTGGAGAGAACTTGTGCAAATTAATGATGTAAATTAAGAAAGCTATCCTGAAAATGCTTAACATTTTCTGGAGAAAATAAATAGGAATTAGAATCTTTGAATTCCACCAACAAAAGGATAAAACATTACGCGCAATCTTCACAAGGTCGGCACTTGGTGCGATTTTACCCCTACTTCAAATATCATTTCTCAATTCACGTCTTACTAATGAGCTTTATTGACACTTTCGATATTAGTGTCTATTCCTTGATGAATTGTCGTGATGACTGCAGCGTCTTGCCCCTCTCATTGCCAGTCTAGTGTCTTAAAAATGTTTCATTGATCGAGCTAATGACATTTTCGTCACCGATTTTTATTAGAGCTCGCAATTTTCTCAAACTATTTTGGGAGTGTCCTCTACTTTTAGCGGTTTGCCTGTTACGCAAAACGCACATTAAAGCAGAAGTCTTGGGATGGCTGGATATCTTTCGGAGGTTTCAAATTAACTATGACGTTCTCAAAAAATCGATTTTGATTCCGTATGTGCATTTTATTGAAAAAATACTGGAAAAAAGAGTTAGGGTCAAAATTACTATTTGTTATTTGATACAAAATGAACTGGCATGGAGCTGAGAACGACGCTTAAATATTTAGATCAAAATTCTATCTCCTGATGGTGTATAAACAGGTTTTTCCAACAGTTCAACGGCGGAAAAAGGTAGAAATTGCATATTACGTAGAATTTATTTTTCGAAAAATAGCCGTCTAACATTCCGACAACCACACCTGAGTCACCAATTTTTTCTCCAATCATTCGCAGTCACCAACAAACCTTGAGTAGCTTCTCGATGCAATTGTCAGTGATAATTTTCAAGGAGGGAGATAAAAACAATTAATAATATTCAACAGACTTTTTTGTTCCGGCAATCGAGGCCTTTAATCGTAGAGACCCAACTTCAATTCGGGTATCCATTTTTTTAGTATTCACACCAAGAATCGTATTTTATACCAAAAATGTTTATATATTAATAATGTATAAATGTGGATATCCTGCCTATGAAGAGGATAAATCAAGGGAGTTTTTAAGAAATTAAGTTGACTAGTTTTCAAATGAAAAAATAAAGTATGCCAAGGAGTCTGTAACGATGCAAACGGAGATAAGTGGTTTCGAACTTTGGTCATCGCTATATGTATAGATGGCATCAACTAGAGGAAAGACAAGAGACCGGTTGATTTTGTCGATGAGGCATAAAAAACGAGTGTAAATTGGACGTATTTCTGCCAAACGGAACTATATGCATTGTAACGTGAGCCCTATTATGCTGTATTCTTTTGGATCTCAGGGCTCATGTCTTAATGCACATCGTTCCGTTTGGCAGAGATACGTGCAATTCAAAGTGGTGAAACGTGAGAATACTTTCCTTAAGGTGACTGGAAGTTTCCGAAACTGTTTCCCGAGTTCCGTAGGTTCAAAAGCAGAATCGTGGTGACCTCTCGAGGAGAACATAGCATGGCGCGTTGGATACATCATCCCATTCGGAAACTTGCCATTTCAATTAATTTTACGATAGGTGGATGACGTCTTTACACATCAATTCTCATTCTCATGATACAGCCACAGCGGTCGATTGCCCAATCTCGATGTGGTTTTCACGACCTCCCTGAGATTTTAATCAGAAAATCAGGAGGCTGCATGCGCCGTGCTCATGATAAGACTAATTGGCCCCAACAAGGATCTCAGTTATCTTGATTGGTCGAGAACAGTTTTTCAACGAACATCACATCCCTCTCATTGGAAAATTGTGCTCGAATATAAGCTTCTTCCCTCTTCTTCGCGGCTTTTCAATTTTATTATTTTATGAGGAAGTGCGAATAGATGGGGGACTCACCATCTCTCTCTTTAGCGCTGTGCTGACTCATACGGTCGTACTCGTAACTGTCGTAATTTTATACCTGACTTTATGTTCTCTCGCGAAAACAGTGCGGAGACGCTCAACCACCCCCCCCCCCTCCGTTCTCTTTCTTTCTCTAATAGGACAGACAAACAGTCGTAGTCGTGGCAAAGCTAGACCTTTTTCATGGGAAAGGTCTACGGTTAAAATTTTTTCATGAGGGCCCAATTCCTAAAAAACATGCAAATTGATTTTTTTTTGGAAAAATGTATTAGTCTTGAAGAGGGTTTAGACCCTTGGACAACTCACACCCCCCCCCTCCCCCCCGGTTACGCCGCTGTGGATGACTTAGATAGGAGTGATGACATCAAAAACTCCTGCATTTCCCCCTTAACTAGTAATGTATTGAATGCTTCCCAACATATTTTTATTGGCATTTTTAAATGTTTGGAAACTTCGGAAAAAGGGTTGAAGGGCGCCCTTCCATACCATGTAACGCAAAAGATTAGCCCATTTCAAATTATCACCAAATTAAGGAATGATCGGATGGAATACCAATACTTGCTCATTGAATTTCTCTCATAGATTTAGATCTTGATGTTGCTAGGTGAATCGGAAAATTTCCGTAAAACTAGTGAAGTAGGAGCGAAAGGCCAAGCACTTCACTAATTTCCGGATGGAGGAGGGGGGGGGGCACAAAATGTGCAGTGACAGTTGACAGTAAATTCAAGCATGTACTTGAATTTTGTAAATGCTTTGATTAATGTAATAAAATGATGATTGATTAAGGGCACCGGATGTTTCTCGGGTGCGGTTTACTTTTCTACATTGACGTTTAAGTCTCCAAACTCGATAGACTACATTTTGCATTTTGGAACTACTATTTCTGCCTCATTTTAAAAATTGCGTTTGTGCCGTTAGTCTCTTCACGGAGATAGACGCTTTTGTGTTTGTGGATGAGCCAGAATAGTAGTTCCCAATTGCAACATGCAATACGATTGCCGTAAATGACAATCTACACTCGCGATGGCCTCAATGAGAAGTGGAATTCACTAAACTGCCTTGTCAAAAATGACATCACTATTTTTGTTCACCCAGTGTCCATTCACAACTGTTGTCTTTTTGCAAAGAAAAACAAACGGGGTACTTTGTATTGGCAGGGACATAAAAGAACATTAATCGAATCTTCAAGAAAACTCGATTTCGAAATTCACTCGTTTCTACTCTCATTGACTATACCGCGGTTACACGGCATCTCTCAAAATAACTCGGACATTAAATTGGATGTATTTCTGCCAAACAGAACTATTTGCATTATGACGTGAGCCCTGTTAAGCTTAATTATTATGGATTTTAGGGCTCATGGCTCAATGCACATTGTTCTGTGCGGCAGAAATACGTCCAATTAGTGAGGGGTTGAGATTATATTTTGCTTTTTTCATGCTAAAAGGGACTTGGTTCAAACGAATCACCTGAATCAGTCCCTTCGAGAGGAAAACTACGATTTGAACCAAGGGTTCGATATTATGTCGAATGACGTAGCCACTAAATCAGTCAATAAGGTGACAATTTAGGGGAGGGGGGCTTTAAGGACACCCTGCACATATTTCCTTTTTGCATTAATACGTTCCTTTCTCATTTGCAATGACTTTGATTGGACAGCCATCGGGGGAGCTGACGATTTGGCGGCGGGACGAGATGTACTGGGGAGTGTGCGTGCCCTCCGGCTGCAGGGAGCGAGACATCCAGCGTGACGTCGACGAGTTCCTCCAGCGGAGTTGGTTCGCTGACCACGTCACCGCCACCGTCAACGCCTCCTTCTGCCAGACGCGAGCCTCCGTCAAGAGCGAGGCTCAATCGGAAACTCTCGACAGGATAACAATGTAAGTGACCGATAGAATCGTCATACCCTTCAGTATTAACGCTCTGAAAAAAAAAATTTCGGTGTATTTACTAAGGAAAGGGTAAAATTACCAAGAATTCAGGGTTCTATTTGATCGCAGTTTTTTCTTGGTAAAATTACCATTTATGGAATTGGTAATTTTACCGAGAAATCTCGGTAAAATTATTGAACTTTCTCGGTAATTTTACTAGACCTTGGTAAAAACGCCAATATTTTTTATCGACTGTGGTAGAATTACCGAGATAAAACGGCAAAGTTACCGGGAATTGATTACCAATAAAAGTGGTATTCTTACCTGAAAAAACAGTAAAAGTACCGGCTTTTAGGTAAGCTTACCAGTCTGTCCTGGTAAAATTACCAATAATTGGTAAAAAAAAGTGAGATGGTAAAGGTACCAACGGACTTTGGTAAAAACGCCGAGAATTTTTTTTCAGTGCGGACGTCATTTGGATGTATTTCAACAGCGGGCCGATTATTGAAATTGATAGACAAAGCTATAAACAAAGAGGACAAAAGGGGAATGGAGGGATCCTATTGGTGGAAACCGGGTAACTTTCCTTGTGTACATAAGCGTTTTTACAGATAAGCCAGAAATCGTAGTTCCGAATTGCAAAATGTGATCCAAGTGTCTCTGCTTTGTTTTTCTGGCAGTTTAAACTTAACTCAACTGTATCCCCCAATCATCTGATTCCCAACCAACTGGATGAGCTGGCTTTGCTCAAATGCAGGTAAATCCAGCGAACTAACATGTTCAACTGACCGAGGGTAGATTTCTCCCTTGATTCTGTGTTTCATGCAGAAGTAAGAGGCGCTAAAAATCCATTAGTTCAAGATACAAATATACTTAAAACATTTTATTTGATTATTTCCAGGGACCTATTTATCGTTCTGATAGCTTTGACCATTGGCAGCACAGTCTATGATTTCTACTTCAATGAAGATGTCGATCAGTCGAACAGTGGTGGTAAGTTACTAATTAAATGACCATTAATAAAACACATTACAAACACATTGGGCTTAGGGATGGAGAGTGAATGATTTTTTCATCTTCTTAAAAGGTTTTGACGCAAAAAAAAAAAAAAAAAAAAAAAAAAAAAAAAAAAAAAAAATTGCAACGAAAACATGACCGAATTAAACGGATTGGTAGAAAAGGTCTAAGATATTTTGAATGAGCCGGCTCGCGATGTCAGTGAAGAAAGTTCATACTTTTATACGGAGTCTAAACTACTTCTGTTGCTTATGAAGACATTAATTATTAGGGACAAAATTTGTTTCAAAATAAACTTACCAAGAAAACTGACCTGTTGACTCTCTTAAAAACTCCGCAACATTAGATTAGACCAAATCTAACGTTTTAAGACAGCCGTGACACTAAGTGATATTTTTTAAATCTATGAAACTCATTTTCCTCGAACGAATCAACGAGCGAAGTAAAAATAATACGTATCTCTGTTACAACATTTAAAAATCTCATATTAAGTTTTATTTTTTTAAAGGAAACTGACGAAATATTTTCGGTAGCAAAGCTCATTGTTTCCTTTTATCTGTTACATGGAAGGCGTGCTGATGAAACTGTTCATGTGTTTCTCGATGCGGCAAAATTTGCGAGCGTTGTTCGTGCCGAAGCTATATCAGCCTGGATTTGATGCCATGACAGGAGCGCGTACCATCCTCACTCTCCTCGTCCTCTACGGACACCGGTGGAGAATGCTCGTCGTGTCGCCAATAATAGAAGCCAGCACATATGAAGAGGTAACAATATAGACTATTTTAGAATCTACGTCATTACAACAATGTTTCTTATTGTGACAGTATATATGTATTTTAGAGACCCCATGCTGACAATCTACAAATGGGTCGGTTGCGCTGGTCACAAAATCGTGAGCACAGTTTGAAAATTCACAACCAGTAAAAAAAAAAAAGGTTCAAACAAAGGTTTGTGCTTTTGACTACGCTTACTAAAATATCAGCTGACAGCGTTCTAATCATCAGAACGAAGAAAATGTAGTGTCAAATGAAACTTGAGAATACACCAGAAACGTAACAACTACAAACGTAAAAACTAAAAATTTGAACATTTATTTTGAAAACTTTTGACAGGTTTTCCTTAATTTTTTGTGCATGCCTGCGTAACGGATGGTATACCTGTTTCAACTGTTGTACATACATTGAAAAATAACAAATAAAAAATTGGTGTAAAAAAAAGTGCGTGCAACAGTCAGAACTGGGACCATGTGCTAGACAGGGATGCACGCAAAATTAAAAGAGAGAAAACAGGGATGAAAAAGAGGTACCAGCACAGATGGAAATTATTCTAGACCTAGAACCAGACCAAAAAAACCTCTCCCCTCTTTTAATAAAAGCTCCATGTAAATGAGGGGAAATAATATTTTTGCTCGGGCAGTAAAAAACCACCTGTAAGATTATTGCATAACAAATAGCAAGCATTTGAAGCACTTACATTGTAAAGAATTCATGCAAAAATGCTCAAGCATTGATTCGGCTTATTTATTTCAGAATATTTTTTACACCCGAAGGATATCAACGTGTATGTAAAATTTTTTGTTTGATTTTTTTGTTTCGCAGAAAAGCCGTTCTTTCACATTCATGACAACTTGTCTTATAATCATCAACTCGTTCTTCGTCATAAGTGGATTCATCGTCGGCTACTTTTTCTACGCAGAACTTGAAAAACGGGATAAAGCTAAAAAACTTAGCTTGTCGGTCATAATATCTCCGCTAATTTACCGATTTTTAAGGTGGGTAATCATCAATCGTTCTTTTATCCTCCGACACTTCCACTTATATTGTGAAGTGGCTGCTCACGTGTAGATTGCATTCAAAAAATTTCACTGTACCTTCTATTTTGTTTATGAGAAGTCCCCTAGTCATTTTCAAGACAAAATATTTCGAATTAGTTAATATGAAAATGAACCCAAACTTGATTCTACCTCGCATTATAGTTGCTTGGTCCTTATCTATCATCGGATTAGCAAGTAACATTATCTTCCTTTGGTGCAGACATAAAGAAAAAGAGAGACTCTTGTGGATTTCATAGGAATTGAGAAAAACTTGAGAAAATTGTGAATTTCCTGGACTTTGAACATTTATAAGAAAACTAACTGTGCACAAGCACTATTTGTTAAGAGAATGTACATTGATACATTGAAAATTGGAAAATACTATCTCGACTTGCACATTTCTAATGACATCTGATTTATTCAAAGAGAAAATAAGAGCATCATTTCTTTGAGTTGTCGGTGATTTTTCTTCATCAAGAACACTTTGTGAAAATGTCAAACAATGACATTCTTCCGTTTTTTTCTAACAAAATAAAAATAATATAACAGTAGAGATTTTGTAACGCCGCATTCTATGTAGGTTTTTTTTAAAGAAACTTTCACTTGCGATTTCTTTCCGGTTTGCATTCTGGAAAACTAAGCATATTACACATGATCTTTGCAGAGAAAAGCAGTTTTTTGTCATTTTCGGAAATTCGTATGATTTTTCGTCTATTTTAAAATATTTACGAAAAACCAAATACCAAAGTATTAATTTAAAAAAAAAAAAAAAAAAAAAAAAAAAAAAAAAAAAAAAAAAACTGTGATGGCTTAGAGACTTTACAGATGAACTACCGCGTTATTATTAGGACGAGTAGCCAGTTAAGCGCATAAACGTCGCGCGCATCTCGTCACCGCCAGGGCCAGGAAGAACAAAGCGCCTTCATCTCTTCGGTTATGCAAGACGGATAGTCCTGGAACACGAATAGTTGTATCACGCACGTGGTGGTAAGGCGCTATCATGAACGTCGCGTCTCGCTTGCTTTTTAATGGATTTTTAACATCAAAGTAGGGTCATTCACCGCTGTTGTTTCATTTGTATTTTTTTTTAACTTTTTATGTTATCGATCTCATTTATTTTTAACTTGTTTCCAAGGCATTAAACTTATTGTTAGCATTAACATATTACAGAACTTTTAACAAAAAAAAAAAGGAAAAATCTATTGTATAAATCATTTCATGCAGTATTATACGTAAGCACTAACAATGTAGCAAATAGTGATCATGTAATTTTAATATGTAAATATTTCTTCCTTTACACATATTACGAAAGATTTACCAGCAATCTTCAGACTTCACTCCATGGATCCCTTCGTAACGAAGATTGCTATACATGTGAAAAATGGCCCCTGGCCCTTAGTCACAGAATGAATTCAAAAGTGCTGATATGTCATTTTTTATGATCATTTGTCGCAGATTTACTCCATTATACGCTGTGGTAATTTTACTGAACCTGACTCTTCTCCCGAAATTGAGCAGCGGTCCCATTTGGCCGAAGGCCATCTTGCCCGAAGTGGAGCACTGCCGCGAAAGTTGGTGGACTAACCTACTCTACATCAATAACTACTACATGGCTGACAAAATGGTGAGTTGCATTTCGGGCTCTTCCGCTTTTTTTAAATTTCATCAATGGACCGTAAAAAGCGATAACTTTTTTACCAAGAGACAAAAAAATCCTACTTTTGGTTGCAAATCTGCTTCATTTAAATGTTATTTAAAGCGAATGAAGGCTCTGACTTTGTTGGAGAGAAAATCCAAGTCCACTCTCAATAAACTCTCCAAGCAGGAAAAGGTCTGAATATTACGACGACGGTGAAATCCAAAACCACTTGTTTTGGTTTGCGGCATTGTAGACTTTTCGTCATACTTTACAACTTCCAGTGGTCAACTATTTAACGTCGTCCATTGAAAACTTCGGTGATACCTATTCCTTCTCTATGTGAAGCATGTTCCGCGAAAGAGCTAACAAATGATGTTGACTCGTTATTTTCTATAACAAAAATTATGCGGAGGAGTAGATTTGAAAACAGTCCATACACATGGTTTGGGAATTTCACTGTCAATCATGGCATGACCGCCATAATTTTGAACTAAAAATTACCATCCTTAAAATTAAAAGTCACCACATAGAGTTGCCGTTTTTTTAGCATTGACTTCAGAGTGATTCAAAACACGATTGCAAAATTTTATATACGATAATGGTAAAATCGTCTTTACGTGACATTTTCGTCAAAGAATGAGCATGAAAATATCAATCTTGTCCCTAATTAATGCTTGCGTTGATAGATACACACATCTTGGTTTTTTTACAGTGCATGTTCCAATCGTGGTACTTATCGACAGACATGCAGTTATTCATCGTGGCGCTGGTGCTCCTGTACATTTACAAACAGAATGAGGTCCTGGCAAAACGACTGTTTGCCGCTGCTATTTTCGTCCCAATCATCTGTCAAGGAATCATGATCTACGCCCGCGATGATCCTGCGTACATGATTGTCGACGAGCAGTAAGTACACCCTCCGCAAAGTAGAACGAACTAATAGTAAAGGTCGGACATAAAATTTGTGACTAAAATTTCAAATTTTTATTTTTATTTCGTCATAAATTCAATTTCAAAAGGTGATTCTGAGAGTAACTTTCACGAAAAAATCAACGGAACTACTCTTAAACTATTTTGTTTCATATTTTCGAAAATAATTTTCTAAGTCTCCAGATTTTTTCCGACTTCTTCTATTGACTAGCTCCAGTGTGCTTCGTGCACTGGCCGCTTAAACATAAGAAACCATAAAATGCACATTCAAGGTGGATCATTTCAAACATTGCTGTTTTTGAGGGGTGAAATCTCCGTTGTATATTCGACGTAAAAACGTAACATTCTGAACAGATATTTTTTCTCTACTTTTTTCTGATTCGTAAGTTTTCTAACTCCGGGTCACTGCTTAAATTGCTCTGTTATGTATTCCTCATAAAATTTTTTAGAGAAAACTCGATAAAAAATATTTTCAAGCGGATCTTAAAATTGAATTACACGTTATATATTGCAAACTTTTAATATTTTTTTTTCGTTTCTGTTTGATAGACGCATGAAGAAAGTTCCTGGAGAGTACTACTACATGACTTACTACATTCCCACTCATTTCAGACTCCCTTGCTACCTGATTGGAGTTGTTGCGGGAGTATATGCATGGAAGGCGAAAGACACGCCGCCGACTCTCTCATTGGTATGAAACAATTTCTGATGTTTAGGTATACTTAAGTACATGCTAAAATAATGATCCACCCTCGGTCTTGATCCTATAAATTAATATAGGGTGATTCCGTTAAATTTAAAAGATCTACCGGTTTTTCATGATTTTTGAAGCCATCGGTAGGAGATAGTCCCTAGATGAGCCATAGAGTACATGGAGTCGTAATGTAAGTTGGAGAGCTGGCACCACTTTTAAGCATTTTCCAGGTCCCGAATTCCGGGACTCCTGTGTGACGCCGGGTCACTTTTTCGATACATGATCTATTGTTTTGGTTTCAGAACATTTTGTCAACGATTTTTCGTCCGCGCATCTTTTTTGTCCAGTAGTTTACGCCCACACGTCAAATTTCTATCCTTAAAATATTCGATGTACAATATACCTTATATATGTATAGGTACTTTTTTTAATTTTTTCTTTACGAAATTATTACTTCATTTTGAAAACATTTATATTTTTAAATAGTGAAAAATATTTGTAAAATCTTTTCCTAGCGACATTAATCTCAATGAGCCGCAGTTGTGCCGACAGAAACTGCAAAAATGAATAAAAGAGGAAAAAAACCAAGAAGCACGCAATCTTTAGTTTTAACCCATTTGTACATCGATCTTTTAGAGTCAAATACGTCAAATTTTGAGCTTTTGGTTGCGTGTACACCTCGCTGCAGCACAATAAAAGCACAAATGTAAAAAAAAAAATTAAAGCGCTTTGGAAATCATTTTTGACACGGAACCACCAATATTTAAAAAACACACATTATATTATTATTCTCCTTTCATAAATTGATACATCGACGGTGCAAGTCGGCAATCACATAACTCGTTTGCGGTGTCTGAAAATCTCCGCAACTATGTTATTTTTTTAAAGGAAAACAAATGGACATGATTCCTTGAAGTTTTTGCAGAATTTTCCTCGCACATAGAAGAAAAATCACGGCCGTTTTAAAGAATTACCGTTGAGTAGTTTTCCGTTTAAAAAATAAAGTATGACAAGAAGTCTGCGACGTCGCAAACCGAGTTATGTGATTGCCGACTTTCACCGTCGACATATTTTTTCCCCATCAATTTAAATGAGAATAATCAATACAGAGTGTGCAAACATTTCAAAATCATGAGTTAAAAAACGCTGACTATGCGAGTAGAAATAATAAAGCCTAACAGAGCGGAGCGGCGGCGTGCTGCCAGCGCGAGAGGCTCACTGGCGCCTGCAAACCTAAGTGGATTCTTCACGCATTGCACAATGCTTGAAGTATCCACTTAGGTTTGTAGGCGCCAATGCGCGTTTCGCGCTGGCCGCCCGCCCGCCGTGCGGCGGCGCCTGAAGCAACTATTTCACAACAGAGGTGTTGCACAGTATTATACGAAATTGAACGTATTAAGAATGACAGGCATCCTTTAAAAGTAGAGATCTTTCCTCGCAAAATAAATCAAGATACTTATCGTACGCAGGAAAAATCTAAGAGCCTTTGGCTGAGGCAAATATAGAGGTTTATCCGGTTCAGGTATAATAAGGTGGGAATTTCCTGCAAAATAATTAAGTCCTGTTACACCAAAGAGGTGAAGAGAGTTTTAGTAAATTTTGTCTCGTGGAATTGACGCTCCCCCATTTTTACCAAAACTCTCAACTATATGTTATTCTCCGTTGGACCAAACAGACAAAACAAAAAAAAACAAGCAAACCCTCATTTTTCCAAGACTTTATATATTTTCATCCAAAAACGTCGTGAGCAATTGTCGTTTGTATTTACATGTGGGCAAATTAACTTTGGGTCTCAACTGGCACGTGGACCAAAACTCCCGTGCAGAAAAAAACGCGTGGACGTGAATTACTGGAAAGAACAGGTGCGCGGACAAAAAATCGTTGACGAAATGTCCTATAACCATTGTTTTCGATACACGGGTACCCGGCCATGCGATGTAAACAAAGACGATAGGAATCACCACGTATTTCACACCGTCATTTTGGATCGAAAATGTATCGAAAAAGTGACCGAAGCTCGGCGCACACCGGGCTCGGAACTCGTTGAGCAGAAGATGGCACCAGCTCTCCCACTTACATCACGACTTTATGTGCTCTATGAGATGAGCCCGCTCTATTTAGATTAACTTTCGGGCGCTCACAAAGCAGACCGTAAAGGAAATTAAAGGGGATGAACTTCGTAGCGACCAAGAGACGTAAGACCTTTAGTAATATTTATTTGCCAGATCCTGTGACATATTTTAATAATAATCTCTGTTTGCTTCGCTCAGTTGGCGACGAACTTGTACACAGCGGCACTCGTTGCTTTCTCAGCGGCGTTCCAGAGCATTGGACATGAGTTCACGCGACCCTCCAGCATGAGAGATAGCTTGGTGCTCAGGACACTCTACGGGTGTCTTCACTGCTCCGTCTGGGCCTTCTGCTCAGCCATGGTCATCTACCTCAATCTCCGCAGAGAGGGCGGTAAGTAGTCAAATCATAGCGAGTCCATGGCGGTAGATACACCACATTTTCCACGTTTTTCAAAAATATTTCATGGGAGGGTTGATACAATTATCTCCTTACACTACATCTTACGGCCGAGTGTAAAAGTAATGTAAGTGGGTAACGTAACTCCACGTTCAGGTAGAGTACCTATATTGAGAGAGAATGGCCACTGGGCCCCATGGAGAGGCTTAGGACCCAAAAATGGCGGTGCTTTGCTTTGGTTTTTGTGGATGGGAGGGGGGGGGCATTGCCAACTTTTGACGGTTATCACCAGTTATCACCAACCGCACTTGCTGCCAACCTTACTACATCTAAGATAATTTTTCTCAAAAATTGCACACGATTAGCCTTAAAAATATGTAAAGAAGTCGCAATAGTGCATTTGGGTAAATTTCTCGTTACAATAAGCAAAGAAAACCACATTTTGAGTCATTTTGCATTACATTAATTTATGGCGTCCGCCATTTTTGGGTCCTAAGGGCTCCATTCAGCCTAATATGGCTGAGCCAATCAGAGGTGGTAACACCAGTGGCCATACTCTCTCAATATAGGTACTCTACGTTCAGGTATGAGGGGCCGAGAAGGGGCTCTAGTTCTGTGTTGCGTGTGGTTACGTGGAGGAGGTGGATGGAGGAGGAGGTATATCTGTTCCTCTGGGTAAAGATAACTTTAAAAAAGGCTGATCGTCATAGAGAAAAAAAGGAGGTGTTTGCATTTCGGGCATCTTAGATTTTTTTGATGACGTAGGTCGGTACTGACGACTTTTATCGTCGATTTTCTTGGACATGGTGTAGTTCATGAAAAAAAAATTATTGGATATAAAGTGTTTGAAATTATATCATAGGTTGATTTGAGTATAAAAATCGGACATTATGGTCCGTTTTTCATACTTCTAATTTCAAATTTTGCTGGCCATGCTGTACCGACCTACGTCACGGGGTAAACAATCCTCGAGATACAAACACCTTTTTTTTTCTCTATGGAATAACCGGAGAACTTTTAATTCTTTTTAAAGCTATTCGTGTAGATGACGAAACTTCTCAGAGACAAGGAGAGACCCCCTCCCCCCCCTTACCTCTTGATGACTGATAGGAACTGTCGAAATAAACTTCGGATATTCAACATTTCCTTCCTTGTGGGTATACCCACAACTATAGTTACAAAGCAGCAACAATCCTTAAGTATGCGTGTGTTCCGATTGTTTTACCCTCGAACTTCTCGAAGTGTCTCTTCATGCACTTGGCCTCGCCAATTTTCCTTCATCTAAAGTTATCATATTACCTAACCTCCAGGCAAATTTGATACGTCACTGTAGTCTCCAATCTGTGGTCAGAAGGAAATAGTTGAAAAATGAATGATGGGAAATCAGAAAGGATACTTACAATGACAAAAGACGGATTGAAAATCAAAATTTGAGCGGATATGTAATCATAATCTTATTGTTTTTCTTATTTTTTGCAGGATGGTTCCAACGAGTTTTTCTTTTCTATCCGTTCATACTGTTTAGTAAATTGTCATTCGGGGCTTACTTGCTGCACTCAATGACGCAGAGTATCGAATTTGGCTCTCTGAGGGCTCCAAAAACGCCTTCAAGACAAGAAGAGGTGAGCATAAAAAAATAGTTTGAATTATTTATGAGTCATTGCGGACCAAAATCATCATCTTTTGGTAATTTTAAAATATGCATCGAGACGGAAACAAATACTCATCGCCTTTTAATCTTAGATCAATGGCATCTACATCCAAGAACGCGACACGAAAAGAAAAAATATTCTCCCCTTCCCCCCTTCAACTGGATGTATTTCTGCCAAACGGAACTATATGCATTACGACATGGGCTCAGAGACCCATTGGAATACGGGCATATCAGGGCTCACGTCATAATGCACATAGTTCTGTTTGGCAGAAATACGTCCAACTGTGTCTCACTCTCACCCTAAGCGCGTAAAAAATTTAGTATCTCTCGATATTAGGAATCCAGCATTAGCGATTCGCCATTAAACGCCTGCAGATGCCTGTAATGCAATTTTGCTGTCACTTGCAGAAGTTGCCTAACCGACGCTTTGAAGGACTTTCAGGATTCGATCGAGTCATGTTGTCTAAATTGAACACATATTTTTCAACTTTACGTTCAAGGAAAAATGGTTTTAATTGTTTCTGAGCATTCTTATCACCCCTAATACTTTTCTATTTCTTATTTTTTTCTAGTATTGGATGACCGCGGGAGATGTTATATTTGTCCACCTTTTCTCTTGCATTTTATGTCTACTAGTGGAGGTGCCATTCTCTCGGATACAAAAACTTATTCTGCTCGGTGGAGGGTAAGAATTTTTTTCTATTTCTTTATTTATTTATTTATTTATTTATTTATTTATTTATTTATTTATTTATTTATTTATTTATTTATTTATTTATTTATTTCTTTATTTATTTATTTATTTATTTATTTATTTATTTATTTATTTATTTATTTATTTATTTATTTATTTATTTATTTTAATTTTGGCATAGTTACAAATTTGTGGTCGCTTTTTGCCAAAATATTCACAAAACATTTTCCTCAGCAAGTACGCCAATCTTTCGATCTATCCTCCCATAGTGGTCACATTTGCAAAGAAAAATAAACGAAAAATCTCTGTCACCACACAGCTTGAGGGAACTAATGAATACATACCTTTTTCATGATAAGACTGTTGAAATTGATATACAAAGCGATAGACAAAGAAAACATAAGGAGTATGGAGGGATTTTGGTGGTTGAAACGGGTGGTTGATATAGACTGAAGGGGTAAATTATGGACTAATTATAGTAACTACAGGGTCTCTCGTAGATTGCCGTTAGTTACCTTTATCTTTTGTCCACTGCAACCACTCGCTTTCACCAATAGGATCCCTTCATATCCATTTTGTCTTCATTGTCTATGTAGCTTTGTTTGTCAATTTCGATACTCAGCCCACTGAGGCTCAATTATATTCATCCAACTACATCGGGTCCTGTTTTTAACCGAACGCTACGACGCTACTGCCGTGCTAAGGAAAAGCGCCGTATGAACATCGAGAGTTGCCAAATTTTCCCTGGATAAAACATGTATATTTGACGACATTCATGCACATTTTGCACACAATGGTCTGAAAATTTTGGGGAAAAAATACTCACAATTTTCCCCGTAAATTCGGTTTTTATCGAAGGAAACTCGGCAACGTCTGGAGGCTCGTACGGCGTTCTTCCTTAGCACTACAGATTAATAATTATTAGACCTTAAAATAGGGAGTTTCATTACTTTTCAATCATTCTTGAGCTGCTGATTCAATTTATCTAAATGTAAATCTATCGTTTTCAGGAAAAGTCAAGAAGCTGAACCATCTGGTGAGGCGAAAAAAGTTGAATGATGTACCCATGTGATTTCCTATTTACTTGTCTGTGATGAAGCCTCCGACAACCATCAGGTCTATGTTCTCAGACCACGAACCAAGGCCCGCCGAGTTTCTGAAACTTGCTCCATTATTAATAAGCATCGTGATCAAATTAATTTAGGGCTCCTATTTTTAGTTTTGAGATAGAAGCATTATGTACATACTTACTTTCTTAATTTATTTTTTCTGTGCTTTCTAATAGTTTGATTTTTCTGAATAGTTTAAATTTCTCGAGTTTTTAAAAATAATGAAAGGCCATTTCTAGTGTTTAAGGCCATTTAAATACTACAAAATGCTCCTTTGAATTTTACGCCCCGTCTTCAATTTCCTCTCAATTTGGACAATCCAGGCCCCTGCGGGCTGATTAATGAAATTGATAGACAAAAAAGACGACGTGGAAATTGGGCGATCCTATTTGTTGAAACGAGTGGTTGCTTTAGACAAAAGGGGAAATTGATTGACTAACTATAGAGTCTCTTGTGAATTACTGTTACTTAGTCTGCTGCTTGGATCATTTGTCTATTGCAACCACCCACTTCCACCAATGGGATCGCTCCATTATCTTTTTGTCTTCTATGTCTACCTCTAGGTCTATCAATTTCAATAATCGGCCCACTGAAATAAAGCTGAGGGATACTGAACATATTTGCCGGATTGTAACCAAGAAAAAAAACAGGGGCGAATTATCTTGAATGAATTTGTTCGCTTTTTCTGATACTGAGGAAGTTCGTTGGACATTTCCGCCGCATTTCGTTTGAAAACCAATTGAATTTTAAAACCTCCCTTAAATGTGTCTCAGAGAATAAAGTTTGTAATTTATTAATTACGTAAAGGTGAATCTCGTAGATATTATTTATATTTTATATTTTAACTATAAAAAAGATTCCGCTTGCAACAAGCCGCATCAGCCTAAGAGTTTCGACGGAAAGTTTATCCCAGCACAGAAAACTGCAATTGTTTGAAGGTGATTCATGTGATTATAAAGTTCCTTAACAACTCTTAAGCCAAGATCTTTTTTTAAAAGGAAAACAAACAAACAGAATATGCGCTCATTTTCCATCAAAAATGTATTTTAATTCTAATGACTATTTTGTACATATTAATTTATAAATTTTTTTTATTTTAAACGGAAGGTTTGTTTTTTATATTCCGAACCCATCTCCCACTTTCTTTTAAAACAAATATTACTTATATATTCCCTCCCCAATTTGTATCACTTCTCTTTAAATCTTTTTAAGATTGATGAGACCGTGAGTATCTTGGTGAATCTTTTTATTTTGGAGATGTGCCAGTGCTTTTGTAAAATAGCTGGAAGATGTTTTATTTCTTCATTTATTTCTATCATTTATTTACTTTTCTTTTATTTTTGTCTTC